TCTCTCTCTCTCTCTGAATTCCTCTCTTTTCATAGTTCAACTTTCAAATAAATAAATCTTAAAAAAAGAAGAAAGAGTTGAGAATCAGGAAGAGATAGTGGAAGTCAGTTAATGAAGCAATCATCAAACATTTGATTCTGTTTTATTTTTCAAGGCATTATTTGACAGTTTTTAAGATATGAAGAAAATCTCTCAGGTTAACTGATAAAAACATACAAATTAAATCGGCTCTTCTGAAAAGCATTTCTTATAAGTTGTCAGATCAAAAGGGAAAATTTTAAATTCAGACAATAGGTACAAGTGGATGCATGAGTAACTCTTTTGTAATTATATCATTCTGCCTTACAAAATCAGTGGAGTAAAAAATGTAACTACCTAATTTTTGGGTTTTCTGACCTATAGATAAATTCATGAAGCCTTTCCAGAAACTGACAATGTCAGCTCTGTAATCACAATTCCTTAAAAATGGATCATTTTACTTAAAAAATTTATTAACGAAAGAACCGATTTCATGCATTTCATGGGCACAATTCTGAGAAGGTAACCACAATCCCCTCTCACCCACAGTCCTGCTTTCTTTGACAAAACCTCTGTGCACTGTTGTCACAGACTGAACGCACTATAACATTAATACTCAACAAGTAAGAAGCAGGAAGCCCACTGCTCCCCAGGAGCATACACAAGGGGAGGGTGACACGAAAGGAGGTGCGCTGGCTGTCTAACAGGCAAGGTTTGTCAAGAGCTTCTCAGCTGCCAATATTCTCACTCCGAGATGCCAGGAGGGGCCCCAGGGCCTGGAGCGTTCCCAGCCTAGAAGCAAAGCTCAACTGCCTTCACATCTTAGCGGTAACTCAGCTCGTGTTATGTACTCCCTGAAGCACCTGACTTATGTTCCTGGGATGCCTTGGGAGCTTTTCCTACTTTCCAGAGTCACAGGTTTTAGGCATCAACTCCGTTTCCACCTCCCAGTAGCTCCTGCACCCTCATTTGATGGTCCTGCGCAAGGGTCTTCACTCGCCCTGCAGAGTTTCAGTGCGTCCTAATTGCTCAGCTAGATTTGGCATCTTTTCTGGATCCTTACCCTTAAGTCTTAATTTTGAAAATTCTTGTCGGGCCCGGCGCGGTGGCGCAAGTGGTTAAGTCCTCGCCTTGCACGCCCGGGATCCCATATGGGCGCCGGTTCTAATCCCGGCAGCCCCGCTTCCCTTCCAGCTCCCTGCCTGTGGCCTGGGAAAGCAGTCGAGGACGGCCCAAAGCTTTGGGACCCTGCACCCGCGTGGGAGACCCGGAAGAGGCTCCTGGCTTTGGATCGGCATAGTATCGGCCCGTTGCGGCTCACTTGGGGAGTGAATCATCGGACGGAAGATCTTCCTCTCTGTCTCTCCTCTCTGTATATCCGCCTTTCCAATAAAAAAATAATAAAAATAAATCTTTAAAAAAAAAAAAAAGAAAATTCTTGTCTTTATGCCATTTACCCTGGGACTCCCTGAAGTTCCAGGTTCTGGTCTCAAGGCATTCCCTTCCTATGTGTCAAACTAGAACATAAACTAACCCGAGAAGGGGCCCTTTTCTATATTATTCACTGTCACATCCAGTGTCCACATTAGAGACTGGCACAAGTAGTTAACAACTATTGAATGAATGGAGTCATCCTATAAATCGCCACTTGGCCCAGTTCTGTATTTTGAGCATAGCAGCTCCTTCATAAACATTCACTGAACCCAAATTACCCAACAAAGAGCTGTTTGGCTCAAAAACACAGGGACCTGTATTTTGTAAATTTGAATTCTAGGCCATTAAGGAAACTTTTCTAAAATAGTTTCCTGACCTTTTAAAACCACATAATAAAGACATCTCTTCCTGAGAGGGACTTTTTCTTGATGAACTTCCCTAATGAGCCCTGAGTAATATTATCTGGCGCCAGGGCCAAGAATTAAAAAAAAATTAAGTTGAAGAGAAAAAATATTTAGAATTTTAATCTTTTCATACTGTTAGGACACTATGACGAAAAACTCATGCTACAATATTATTCAATTTCTTGTCTTCCTTTTCAGTGTTGTTCGCTGTTTTCTTCTCACGTGTAGTTTTTAAGTAGAAACTATGGAAAATACTAGGAGAAATGTGTCGCGGAATGAAGAGACCTGCACGTCGTGACAGAGCAGGCCTCTGGGTCTCTCTGCCCACAGCGCCTTTGGTTGCTCCACAGCGGCTGTGAAGGAGGAACCCACGACGGCAGGCTTGCTGCGCTCTGCTCTGGCCAACAGCGTCAAGCTGACACAGACCACGACGGTGGCGGTTACTTCAAGCATATCCCAAAACAGCAGGAACTTAACAAGCTTGCCAGGAGATCCTTTCCTTACATCCCTCTATCAGCGCTAGTGAGATCATAGCCAACACTTGGCTTCTTTCTCTTTCCTTATACACAGACAGTGTGTACTGCTTGCTTTTTAGTTATCTGTGGTCTATTCAGGTGGAGTAAAAATACTGTTTTGAGTTTTGGTATTTTGATTACCGAGTCACTGTGTAAAGATCCAAAGTGAAGCCTTGATTAAACCAAGTTTGGCAGAACAGCAGAGTCACAATATGACAACTGAACAAACTTTTAAAACTTTCATGTTTATTTTTAATCTAAATTTTTTTCCCTTTAAAAATAAGCCACCAAAAAAATTAAAATGCAGAAAATTTCTATTTTAAATATTGTGCTGTCTTATTTACTCCTATAAATCCTATTCCTGCTACAAATAATGTTAGATAATTTCTTTTTAAAAAAGATTTATTTTTGTTGAAAAGGTAGATATACAGAGAGAAGGATACACTGATTCACTCCCTAAATGACTGCAACAGCTGGAGCTGAGCTGATCTGAAGCCAGGAGCTTCTTCCAGGCCTCCCACCTGGATGCAGGGTCCCAAGGCTTTGGGCTATCCTGTTCTGCTTTCCCAGGCCCTAAGCAGGGAGCTGGAAAAGAAGTGGAGCAGCCAGGACACGAACCAGCACTCATGTGGCATACTGGTGCTTGTAGGCAGAGAATTAGCCAATTGAGTCGTTGAGCTGCCAAATTAATACATTTTTCCTGTGCTTTATTCATAATCAAACTTCTGCACATGTTTACATGTATGTATCATTTATAATAATCATAAAATACATGATCTTTCTGAATATTTTTTGCCAAACTAATTAAAAGGCTTCAATCTTTCAATATGTTTTTTTCTGAAGTGTTTTAGTAACTTAACGAAACATAGGAGTGTCTATCTTGTGATAGAGATGCATTTGCCGACTCAGCAAACGCTGCACATCCATGAAACAAACCCCATCACTGGGCCTTGGTGCGGCGAGGTAGACCAGATGGCTATGTCTGCTCAGCAGTGATTCACTTTCCATTGGAAGATAGAGATGTGAAAACACAATTTCCAACAGTGACATACACAGTGAAAAACATTCTAACTGGGCGATTGTAAAGAGGCCATTTCAAGCAAAGCACCCCTGGAAGAGAAGGCATCTGGCTGTAGCTGTTAAAGATGAGAGGACACCTACCATGGGACTAGCCATCCAGACAGAGGGATCTGCAGTACAGGGCTTTGTGCGATGAGGCCTTACCTGAGGGATGGAGAAGTGAGGTACACACAAGTAGGGGGCAGGAAATCCAGCTAGAGAGGCGAGGCGGGGCACAGGGGATCAGACCTTGGACTTTCATCAAAAGGCAATGGTTTAAACCCAAACAGGGGAAGGATTTTATCTAAGATTTTAACACCAAATAATTTGGCTGGATTTTAGGGGATTAGGAGACCAAACAGGGAGACAACCAGGAGGCCATTATGACACACATATATAATCTATATGCATACACATATATAAAATGCACACACATATGTACAGATGGGGGGAGAGAAGTAGTTAGGTAGAGACAAGCTGGATTTTCAGGGTAGGAATAAAAGGATGTGAAGGTGGAGAATGTTAGACACCGTGAGAAGAATTTCTGGGTCTCTAGTTTGAAGTAATTGTCTCAGTATCAATGGCATTTCTCAGATGCAGAAGACTAGGGAAGAAATGAGCCGGGTTGGGAGGTTGGGATGTAATCAAATGTCTGCTTTGGATGTGCTAAAACATCCAAGGAAAGCTACAGGAAGATAAAAGTACTCTGCTGTATTTGACAAAGATGCCAAGATTTATCAATATTTGATACAAAGAAATAATTTAATTCAAAAAGCTTAAACTCCTTTCGTAATAATGACAAAATACACACACATTCATACTTTGAGTATATAGGGAGAATTAGATCAAGTTTGCAGATATTTAGAACCTCAATCAAGCCAGGATGGCTGAGAGTGATAAAAATATGAAATATGAAGAGAGTTGAAGATTTCACCCAGAACACTCAAGTTTGTTTGCTTGCTGGACAAGCACAGAATAAGCCAGGAACTCTAAGAAATGATGGCCAAAGAGAAGACTATGAAGAACACAGAGTGCTACAGAAAGAGAGAAAATGTTCACGGGCAGGGAGATGCACTGTGGTGCAGTAAGATGAGGATGGGAACGAGCCACGCGCTAGACTGGAACCCAGTGGTCACTGTAGCTTTGGTGCTGTGAATGCTCGGTGGTGTGCAGGAAGTGGATGCTCATTTGGAGAGAAGTGAAGACAGTATACGGGGTTGGAAACAGAACCAGTGCATAGAGGTGGAAAACTGTCCAAGGTTACTGAGACTACATAATAAGGCTTTTATTTTCAAGGAGGGTCCTTCTATGCATAACATTTTTATCAACAGTCCCTGAAAAATATTCTTTTCTCTTTGCACAAGGCGGGGAGGAGGTTTATGCCTAATCAGCACATTATAAAGAAAAAGTTAAGCTACATAACATTTTATTAACAACAAAATTTTCAATGTGTAATAATTTTATTAGATTTTCAGATTGATTATATATAAAGCAAACAAATATTTGATATATCATTCCACAAATGAAAATACTCAAGCATAATTATTCAAAATATGACTATTTTGGAAGAACTACAGAAATTTTAAAACACTTTGCTTCTTTTCAAAATCTTCGGACAGGAAGTGAGCCTGCATGCAATGCAATGCGTGTGAATGAGCCTGATAAAGGTGTCCTTTGAAACAAAAACTTTGGGACTCTGTGTCATTATAGGCATGCTGAATGAACAGATTAGAATAATGTACCATTGTCATCAAATTACATCTTCATATCCATGTGTAATCCATTTTGCACAATGGTTTCAACCCAGTGTGTATGTAATTAAGCAGTAAGGTTGTGGTAATAGCTACTGCTGAGTCGAAATTTTGCTGTTTCATTTTAAAGAAATGAATAGAAAACATAATCCAGTGAACATCAAAGTGCTTTTGCAAGGTGGTTAAATCTCATCAAAGAGGTTTTCTGTGCTGCTGTTTCTTAGCGTCTCTAGAGACATGTTTTCGGCTGAGGTGTGCTCCTTTTTCAGTGTCTTGGGGGGCGAAGGATCAGGCCTGGAGTGAAAAGAAAATCAGCATAGTGTTATTTAAAAAATACATCTGATGTGAAAGAAATCATGTTAAAGCCTGCTTCAGAACGGGTGTGGCGATTTCCCTCGGCATGCTGGACGAGGGGATTTAATTTAGCTTCAGGCCTCACCAGCCTCTCCTTTAATGATTCCTTCACAGTGTGCACTTCCCTTTGGCTTCCTTAATTCCGCCTGTGAACGTGCGTTTCTGTCTCCGAGAACAGGAATTTCCTTTAGTGGCCAGTGCACCCTAAAGTGTGGCGATGACTAACAGTGCTTGTTCTTGTTGCTGGTGATTGTCGATAGTGTGGTTGGTCCACATGCATTTGCGGCGTCTGTGTATCCTCACTTGGTAATTGAGTGTTTTATTGCTAGCCAACTGCATTTTTGTCTAGTGCACCACTGCAGTTCACTTCTTCCGGCAGACTGACTTCACTTGTAGAAGCGCTCTGAGTTCTGGGCTAACAGGCTTGTCCACAGCCACGGCGCAGGGCAGAAGCACAGCAGCTCCATCACAAGGAAAGCCTGGCTATGCAGGTTTCCATCCTGGTGTGAAGCCTCACTTTTCCGTGGAACCTAAGTGAAACACACTTGATGGGAATGATGTGAGATGGCTGCAGAGGCAAGGACAATTAGGTCGGGTCAAGTTCACAGGCAGGGCACGAATCACAGCAGCTTGGGTCAACTGGAGGGTCCGGGCCTTGAAGCTGATACACATGTTTGCAGCTAGGCCTATTCCTTTTTTCAAGCAGTTCCTTTCATCTGGTTTTGCTTTTTTAAAATGTCTCTTTATTTGTTTGAAAGGGAGAAGGGAGGATGAAAGAGAGAGGGGCATCTTCTATCTGCTGGCTTACTTCCCTAATGTCTGTAAAAGTTGAAATGGGATTAGGTAAAGCCTGAAACAGGAACTCCATCCCAGTGTCCCGGAGAAAGGACGCCATCATCTGCACATTAGCAGGCTGAAATCAGAAATGGGGCAAAGCTCAAATCCAGGCACTCAGACGGATGCATGAGTAGTGGTTTACCCCCACTACACCACAATCTTTGCCCCAAATCCAGGTTTGTTTCTTGCCAGCTAAGTGATGTTAGGCAAGTATTCAATGTCAGACTTCTATCCTCTGTCCTGCAATACTGAGATATCACTTGCTACAGGAGTGGTTCAGGCCCTGGTGCTGTGCACAGCAGCAAAAGCTACTGTCAGTGAACCAGATAGCTCACAGGTGTGCTGGCTTTTGGTCTTGGCTGCTCTTCTTCTGATCCAGCCCCTGTGAATGCACCTGGGAAAGCAGTGGAGGAAGTCCAGGTGCCATCCTGCACCCACATGGGAGACCTGAAAAGATCTCCGGGCTCTCAGCTTCAGCCTGGGAAAGCAGTGGAGGAAGTCCAGGTGCCATCCTGCACCCACATGGGAGACCTGGAAAGATCTCCGGGCTCTCAGCTTCAGCCTGGCCCAGTCCTGGGCTTTGTGGCCATTTGGGGAATGGTCCAGCAGACTGAAAGATTTCTATCTCTTCACCATTCCCCTCCTCTATATCTTTGTAACCCTGTCTTTCAAACACACACACACATACATATATGCATACATAAATGAATAAAACCATCTTAGAAACAAATAATCTAAAGATTAAATGTGGGGATGTCTGTGGATTTCTATAAAATGGTAGCTTCCAGTATTTCATAAACTACATGAGAGCAGAATGAAAAAAAAAAATCACCCACAACTCAAACAATATCAAGTATGTTTAGACGACGGATATTTTAAAACACAGCTACCCAAACTGAGTTGCCCAACTGATTAGAAATGAATGCACAGCAGGTGTCTCCCTGGCATGCTGACTGCACACAGTTCGTCACAGTTGGTGGCAAGAAGACCTGAGGAGTGGGCAGGCCCAGCTCAGACAACTTCACCCTGTCAGGAAAGTCATGGTGCAGAGTGCTGGAGCCTTATGAGATAACAAGTACAACCCTCTAGGAATTGCAATGTTAAAATCAACAACAAATACAAGTATTGCAACACATCATCCAATATCTGAAAATATATTTAACAGGAGAAAAAATGAAACCATATGAAATAAAAATATAATTATTACATGTATAGATTTTCAAAGTCAACTCCTAAGGCATTAGACATTTTTCTCTGGCCCTAAATGTCTCAGGTTGACTGTACTCCTGCTAGGGAGAGGAGAACTAGATTTTTTCAATTTAAAGTGAGACACAGAAAAGAGGTCTGTAATTTTGTTCATTGTCTAGACTCTGTGAAACCAAGACAAAGAGATTTATCCGTTTTCTTTTGATGAAAAAAAAAAAAACAAACCAGCATCTGACAAAAATGATCATGATGCCAATTCTGAGGGAAACAAACTCCTAGGGTTCCACTTAGGGTGCATCGCGTCAAGTCCCCAGATCCGAGGGTCAGTCCTGGCTCCTGTCCACGCAGCCTCATCAGTAGAGGCGCTTCGTGGAGTGCTCAGTGCTCCACAGCTGTCAGTCAGTCAGCTATGTCAGATCAGGACCTCCTCACAAACAAAAACAAAGCCGAAGCATTGGAACAGACACTCAGCTAAGCCTTTGGAAAACTCTAGAAATAGGAAAGAACATAACAATGCCCATGATCCTATTCTGCAATACTGAATTTTTTATCAACAAGATCATTCTGATGGACTTGTGACTGTTGCTGAAGGACTGTTGTTATGATACAGGGGGAAACAGTGTCTGGAGGGTGGATGGAGAAGGTAGAAGGGGAAATCTCTGAGCCTAAGGAACTGTATTATGTAAAATAAAAAAATTTTAAAAATTGTTGAAAAAAAAAACAAGATCATTCTATACATAATTTCGTTCCTTGCTAGATTTAGTCTGTCATGTACATTACATATGTCTTTGCATCTGAGTTTAGATGCACGTTTATAACTAATTACCATTTGGCTATAATAACCATTATTTCATTGAGAGATTTGGGTTGGTTCCATTTTTAAATGCTCCCATGACTAACACAATGATTCATACACCTGTACACAAGAATATCTTAGGATACTGATATTTTTATGAATGATTGCTCAAGAAATTATGCTAAGAGTGGAATTTGAAAGCAAAGAACTTGGAGAAGCTGTATGTGATGTCTTACTAAAAAGAGAACTAAAGTATTTTAAAACTTGGGTGTTCCTGACTAAACTACAGCCACTAGTTAGTGGTTCAATTTAAATTGTAAGTTTTCCAGGGATATGTATGTGTGTATATATATATATTTGCATACTCAGGCTGATTTTTCTTTCTTCTGGTCATTTAAAGTCTCCACCATCTCTACATCCTATTTCAATACAAGCTTACGATGCATTGTGCTGATAGTACTTGTTGAATGTGCACTGGCAACAGCTTACTACGTTATAAATATGTAACCTGGGTGATCAAGGCACCACATAATTTCTGCCCCCAAAAAGCTTTCATTTCAACTTTTTACCTTTATGTTTTTCAAAATGTATCTTCATCCTTAAAGTTTTATAACATCTTGAAGACAAAGATTGTATCACAGATTTTTTTTTTCAAAAGAGTGAGTCATCTAATCCCTTTAGGAATAGCTATAAATGTTATGGAATATATAAGTCCAGGTAAATTTTCACATTTTTTTTCCTTAGCAATATAGTTCAAATGAAGACTTCTCAAGAAATAGTTACAGATTAAATGAGTAATGTAAACTAAAGAGGCAAGGTTACTGACAGAGTGAGAAAGTTCTAGGACCGAGGCTTAGACTTCAGGTTTTTCCAGATAAAGCGAGCAAGATGAAGTCTTTCTAGATGATGACAACTGCTGTCCCCAGTGATGGAACTGCAGAGTCTTACGTTCTGTTAGTTGGATTTCACATTGCATGGAACACACATGCTCTACAGTCCAATGCAAAACTGTCCTGCTGTCATCTAACTACATTGAATAGTGTAGATCAAAAGCTGGATTTGTCAAAAGAAATCTCTTACTCAGGAAAAGTTCCTAAGAAACCTTATAATAAAGGATAAACATCTCTTTTAACTTTCTGGGAGTTGAATTACCAACAGCTTTGAAAATGATATTCTGGGTATTTACTTGTTTTGTAAAGACATTTTCTTAGCCAAATTTAAATTGGTATCACCACGGCCAAACAAGCGATCTTTTCTTATTCAAAAGGGAGGCAGTTCACTCCCTCTGGAGGACATGACGTGTGTTTTGTAACGGATCCCGAGACTGATGTTTCTGAAACATGCTGAGGTGCCAACCACATTACCAGAGTGGGTCAGGAAAATGTGCAATGACCGCTGGCACCACAACACTGAGAGCCATGCTCATGTGACTTCTGACACAAACACTGACCTGGACATTTAAACATATGATCAAATAATTTGTATAGGACCTAACTTAGTCGCTATCTCAAGAAAACATATAAGATTAATTCCAGGTGAATCAAACACTTTAATGAGAAAAGCAAAACTTGGAAGAAAACACAAGAGGATGATTTTGATGCCTCTCTACATTCCATCCTTCCCTTACTTATTAAAAAAAAAGAGTCTTATTTGAAAGTTTTGAAGAGACACGAGAGATTGCCCATTCCCTGATTCACTCCCCAAATGTTCACATCAGCCAGGGTAGGCCAGGCTCGAGTTAGGGGCTTGGAACTTGGTCCCGGTTTCCCACGTGGCGGAAGCACCCAGGCACCTGAACCATCGCCTTTCTCTTGCTTCCCAGGTGTGCATGAGCAGGAAAGTGAAAAAGGGGTGGCATGGGACTTGGACCCTGGCACTCTGAAATGGGACACACTTCCCAAATGCCCACCACTGCCTTTAGTGGCTTGAGATAACTGGCCTTCTTTGAAAAGCGGTAACATTGGTAAGTTCAATGCAACAACATCATGGATGTCAGAGAGTAAAACACAACTGGATAAGTTATTGCTGGTGAGAGGAAAACATCCAAGGCCACTTTGGAAATCAATTTTGGCAATAACTGCCAAGGTATGCACTTGTAGCC